CGTCAGCATCTTTGTTCAAATTATATTTTTAAAACAAAATTAAGTGAATTAAAAACATGCACCTTAACAAACTCCATCAAAATTTTAATAAACCAAAGTGTTTTCAATCCCTTTGATGAATCTGTTTCAGTTGCTTAGAATGTATAGAAAGAAAAAATGTATTCATAATATATGGGTGATTCAAAGAGTAATACCATAACATAAAAGAACATATAACGTGAATTATTTACAATAATTTATGATCTTTGCATTTTACGATTTAAAATTTGCGATCAAACTTGTAACCATTATGTTTTTTATGTTATGGTTTTATTTTTTGAATCACCCAGATGAGTTCATTTTTATACATTGTAAGCAACTGAAACAAATTTATCTAAGGGATAGAAAGCATTTTTGTTCTTTAAAGTTTTATTGGAGTTTGTTAATATGCTTGTTTTTAAATTGACTCANCGGAAGCTTGCACTGAGCGCATAAAAGGCTAGTTACGGCGCTGTAAAGATTTATTACATCTAAGATTGACTAATAGCTAGGCTCGATCCCTAGGGTAATAATTAATATTGCCTATTCATAGTTTAAAATATATCAACATATTTTTATTTTTAATTTTGTACCCAAAATGTGCCAGAAAAACTACATGCTTTATCTGTGCCACAGATCAAAAAAGTTTGAGAGCCACTGCCTTAATAGTTTTTGTTTAAATGTTCTGATGATGATTCTATTTGTAATAGCTCTGCAACATCTTTCTTCAATGATGGTTATGTTACTAAGTTTTATATTTGTCATGCATATTATCTTATATTTTTTTAAATTTAAAATATTACTCTTTATATTTTCAGAATTTATAAAAGTAATTTAGATAAAAAAATTTTTGGACTCCTTAACTTATTAATGTTTTCACTTGTTTAAAATTTTTTTTTGGCATTACACTATATTGATTGTAATATGATTAAAACAAATAAAATATTTTTTATTTTTGAAGGACTAGAAGTATAAAAGTTCAATAGACTGGATTTTGTATTTTTTACTCTAGAAAATAAAGCATATTGAAGCATTTATTTCAGGCTGTCTCTTGTAAAAGTTGTTGTAACATCTTATTTATATCTNTGGACTTTAAAGGTTGTTTAAAGTGTGCTTTTTGAAGAATTTTAACATAATATTCTATTGTTGACTTTGATCTCTGTAATTATCAACATGTTAATCAACGTTTTCTTGAATACTCAGTACTACATAGTAACTATTCCATAGTCTGTAACAGGCAAATTGGCAACACTTTCTTACTTTATTCTCATTACATTCATTACTACTACGAAGAACTTTGTTTTTGGCATTGAGTTGCCATTCAGTTCTTAAAAGTATTTGGATTTGCACCTGGTTAATTCCAATAAAGACTGGTATTAACACAGACCTTATCCCCTCATCACATGACCTTTGTTTTGTGAAAATGTTCAAAATCATTCTTGAAATAGAGTTTATCTTTCTCTGTATTATTATACCTAGATGTAATTTTACTTACTTCACAGTAAGTAGAATTTTAATTTTTCACTTTATACTGTTTTACTCAAAAACTTATTTCTGAATTGGACAGGTTTTTGGCTTATAGTAGAATTTAATGTTATGGGTAGTTCAGGGGTGGCCAACAGTTTTTGCCCCTGGGCCGAATTAGAAAGAAAACTTTTTTCACGGGTCAAACCAGAGACTGCCCTAGGAAGATTTTGAGGTGGTGCAAGATCTCATTGTGGTGTCACCCTGTAGAGACTAAATTGTACATAGAGATTACAGATACATTTTTCACATTATCATGCTTTATCAACATTCTACGCTGTACTTAAGAGATTTGTAATGGAAGATTAACTCTAAATGCACAGTGAGTTGTTGACCCTTTTTTATTTCTTTTTAGGTGTCAGAATTTTTCATCGAGCTATTCGGATTTAAGTAGCTAATATTGAAAGATTAATCGCGGACCACATAAATTTTTTACATGGCCATATGTTGGCCATGCCTGGTCTTGCTCCTGTACGTCTTACTTTTCTGTTAGTTGTGCCGGTCATTATCTAGCTTCTTTCAGGGGAAATTTGTTGAATTGAAATAACATGACTTCCAGTTTGCATTGCAAGTTCATATATAGTTAATCGGGGCCTACTGCCTCTAAGCATATCTGGTCTGTAAATTAATTTATGTAACACTGTTCTTGACATTAAGGAAAGACTGACAGACAGATGAGAGTGAGAATTTATAGGTCTACAAGTTTTTCAAATTGCACCCAACCATCAGTATAGCAAATGCTTTCTGGTCTGTCTATAGGTGTTTTGCATCTGCCTGTTTCTGGTATGATTAGACTTCTTTCAATTCTGCATCCAGTTCCAGGGTGATAATTTAGCATTCTTAAGACTGACCAACTTCAATTTGCAGGAATTTATTAATTATATAAAGTAGAGCCAATGTGATAATTTGAAAACATTTACAATACTAAATTTGTAGATAAAAATTTTTCCAAACTGTTTTAGTTATGGAACATTTTCCATTTTACAATATATTTACATAACTAATTTATGTTGTGACAAATTTTTAAAATAAAAAACATAAAATTAATGCTGAAATGCATTTTACTGTTGAAAATGAAATCAAAATAAAATATACATATAACAATTGAATAAATTTTTTTACATATACTGTATTATATAAAATAATATAAAATAAATTAAAAATTAAAGCTTCATTCCACATAAAGTTATATGCAGTTAAACCTGTGTAAACTGGAATTGCACTATACTGAATATTTTTTCTGGTTTGGCAGATTTCCGTTTTGCACAGGCTTTTTTTTTTTTTTAACATAGATAATTGCTCTATTCTGAAGATTTTTCCCATTTAGGCAAGTTTCCATTTTACTCAGGTTCCATTTTGGACAGATTTTACTGTACATGCTCTTTAAGGTTATCGAATTTTTAATTTTTTTTATATTTAAAATTTTTTCAGCTCCTTTTGAGTCATCTTCAGTACAAACTACTTTAGATTAGATATTCTAAGAACGACATACAAAAAAGAAATTTAAACTTGAAGTTTAAATTTTGTTTTGTATGCTGTTTATGAACTTTAATTCAAGTTGTTTAATGTTGGAAGAACATTCCCATTGGTCTAATGCAGGGGTGGCCAACACGTGGCGCATGCGCCAAACTTGGCGCATTGGACGATTACAAGTGGCGCTTTAGTCGTTTCTGAGCAACATTGCCAGATTCGGCTTCATTGCATACACAGTTCGGTGCAATCGACCTGTTGACCTTTTTTTTTTTTTGTGCTTGCGTGTTACACTATGCATTCGTTACACCACTGATGTCATATAGAACTACTTTATACGGGTAGTGTAGCTACCCATGTAACATAGTTCTCTTATGAATTATAGATTATAAATAGTTTCTTCTTATAAATTGAAATACCTAGTTAACGGGTGGCCGAAATTTTTCTCCGCCCCGGGCTGCTAACACTCACGGTACGCCTCTGCACATCTGAACTCGTCTATCACAAAAATTGGCGCATGGTATGCAAAAGGTTGGCCACCCCTGGTCTAATGAATGATATTCAAAAAAATTGATTTTTACATCTTATTGAATTATGTTTGAATTCTGCCTTGAAGAGAAATCATACACCAAGAATGGCCTTAGACAGGCTAAAATTGTTTAGATGTTTAAAAGCTATTGATAGAAAAGTAAATTAGTAATAATTTCTAAACAATACAAATTTATTTTTAAAAGGAAAAAATAAATTGTATTTTAATGGAATTGGTGTTTGTATTTTTGAATTACAAATTTGTTTAATATTATGTGTAATACTGTAAAATTGAACCCTCAGGTAAGATTATCATTATGTGGTTTTCTATATTTTGATTTTTTTTCTAATATACTGCAACAAAAACTGTGTTGCACAAATAAATTGTAACAAAAGGAAATAATACTGCAATGAAATCAACAGACTGCTGTATTCAGTGAACTTTATAGATATAAATTGTCAGAATCAAGTGCTTTCAGAGCTGTGCTCCATCTTCAAGGTTCATCACTTACTAAAAATTTGCACTAGATGAAATATTTAAATATCTTTAGCATTCTTTTTAATGTTCAGTTTTAGACACATGTTCAAGTATTCCATTTGATAGTGAAATTTTAATAGTGATGAACACTAAAGACGGAGCACAGCTCCAAAAGTGCTTGGCTGTAATCTATTTGTATATGTAAAGTTCTCTGAGTAATATAGTTTGTTGGTTTTATATTAACCAACTATAGTGGTACAGTACCTCAGTATATGTCTGCTTTAGAATACGTCTAATTTGGTATACATCCTGTTTGGACAAAACAACTTTTGTTCAGTATATGACTTAATTCAATTATACGCGCCATCTACGAACAAGTAGCACTATCGGTGTACTAGACCAGACTAGACGTTCGCGGTGCCACAGTTTATAACTTTGTTAAATTTCTCCTGATTTTAATTTGTAAGTAAAATTTTAGTATTTTTATTAATCATGAATTGCAAAAAGGCAAGTGAAAAGCAACAGAAAACTAAAAAAATGACTAGAATCACAATGGAACTGAAAAAAGATATTGTTGAGAAATATGAAGGTGGCATGTGTGTTTGAGATTTAACTGTTGCATACCGTATTCTGAGAATGACGACATCGACAATTGTGAAAAATAAAGACATTATTAAATCTGCTAACATTGCGAAAGGGGTTAAATCAATTTCTAAACAGAGATCGAAGACATTAGATCATGTTGAGAAATTGCTTTTGGTTTGGATAACTGAAAAACAGTCTGCTGGAGACAGTGTATCAGAAGCAATTATTTGCAAGAAAGCTAAAAATATACATGCTGATCTCATGAAAAATCAAGCAGGAACTATCCAGGAAAGCGAGGTGTTTAAAGCCAGCCATTTTTTTTTACGTGAGAACGGATTAATTATTTTTACATTACTTCTTATGGGGAAGGTTGGTTTGGTATACGACCTATTCGGTATAAGTCCAAACATCAGGAATGGATTAAGGTCGTATACCGAGGTTCCACTTTATTTTACTACAAATTCTTAATGGGTTAATACTAAAATTGAACATTTACCTTTACTGGAATACTCTTCTATTAAGATATTCCAAACATTATTTGGCAGAAGTTCTATAAATTTTTGTTTTAGTCAGAAATTTAATCAATTAGACTTTTGTAACCATGCACAGTAAAATTGAATGGTTTGGCTGTGATTACAAATGGATTTCTAACTAAATAATTATCATTACTGATTTTTGGAAAATATTCTAATAAAGATGACTTCAAGTCATATAAGTGCTGTAAAGTTGCACTGAATCCTTCATCTTCATAGATTGTAGAAATCTCATTAGTCTTAAAGAATATGCCAAACAATCATTAAAATTTCATCTGGAGTTACCAGAAGTGAAGAAATCCATTAGTTCACTATGAAATTCAAAACTCTCACAAAGTTTAACATTTTCTAGTGTGTCCTGACATTTCTTAAAAACTTGTACTGTACCATAATTTTTGGAGTAAAAGCCACAGCAGTAAAAATAGGTCAGTTATAAACTGACAGATAAGCTTTAAGTTGGTGTACCATTATACTAGCTGCACCAGTTTTTATTGATGAAAAATAGAGCTACTGAATGTTAAAAATACAAATATTTGTTAAAAACAATAGTAACAATTATCACTTAAAAATTACATGCAACAAATTAAATTCAGTGACAATTTCAATTTTGATAATTCCCAATATCGGTAACATCAAACATCAATATCATCATCAATATTAGTCAGTATTTGTTTTCCAACTTGCATATTGGGAAATATTGTATTGCTAGTCAATTATTTGATAATATTTGCCATTAGTTCAAATAATGCTGTCACCTGCAAATTGATTTGTAAGTGATGTGAAATTTTAAACACACGAGTCACACTTTTGTATAAGCTGAAATTTTTCTTTTCCAATGTATAAACAACATGTAAGTCTTGGCTTATAGTCCAAAAATGATCTTTGTCAGGAAGTAAGTTATTTCATGTGCATTTTAAATTTGGGAAAAGGAATTAATTAGTTGCAAGATGTTAAATCTAGTGAGTAAGGTGGATGGTAAAGCTGGTTTGACATCAGTTTTGGCCAAAAAGTTCTGTGCAAGCTTCAATCTGTATACCAAAGTATTATTTTGCAGCACTAGTACACCAGAACTCTCAGTTACAGGCCAAAGCAATCATCATCTGACGGAGATGATTGGTTTGGCTTATAATTAATATTGTCATTGAATTTTGTTATCTGTGATATAGTGGATTAATTTTGCCACTTATATGTGTAGACCTTTATTCACTATAAAATCATTCTAATATGACAATAAATAAAATGTTTGGAAAAATCTTCTTATACATTTATTATATATTTCAAGATTTTCGAAAGTTTCTTTTTGTTAACTTGAATTTCATTCCAAAGTTCTAAGATATCAAAAACACTTAGGATAATAAACTATGATTAACTTTTTACATTCTGTCGGCTTACTTCACATACCTCATATCTCTAAATTCCATGTGTTTGAGATTATTGTATCAACATAATCAAAATAGTATGACACATCTGTATGACATATCCTACAAACCTCATGTTTCTGGTGTGTTTAATTTTAAAGGCAAAAATTCATTGTCACAAATGCTATATTTCTCTCAAAAACCAGTTTTAATTGTCTCCTGTAAAGATACAAGGTTTGTGAACTAGGCCAATGATTCATCATTCTCTTAAATGTTTCACTAATTATTTTGTCAATAAATTTATTTATGTAATTATTTCCAGTGTTTTGCTTGTGGAGCTGAAATTGGAAATCATAAAAACAAGCATAGTTATCAGTTGATTGTAAGTAATATTATCTTTCTTGTATTTTCTTTCTTTTTGCTTAAATGAAAGTGATGTCATTAATTAATACACTTATGATTAACTGTATCATAGAAGTTTCGGTAAATTTATATGCTCATTATCATCATTTTTAAAGCCTGTTGTAGACAGTGGACACGACAAGAAACCTCCAGAAGAAAGCACGAATTGTCTAGTAAGTTAGTGAAACTTTAATCCTCTGTACAAAAGTTCTACATCTTTTATAAAGGATATCACAAATTAATTTATATGTATATATATTTTTTTCTTTGAAAGTTAAAAATTATTTTCCTTTTATGCACATTCTCATTATTAGGTGATTTTATAAAAAATTGTATTAATTTAATAGAATATTTTAAATTAAAACCGTGTAAGATATTTGATTATAAATTACAACTATTGAGCTGAAATGAAATATTCACAAATATGAGAATTACTACAATAATTCTCATTACTTTTTGAATTTTGTTAATACTTTTGAACTATTCAGTTCATTGTCATTCAGTTTTAAACAAGATATTTAAGAGAACATTTTTTTTACTTAAACTGGCTGATACAAATCAAACAAAATACAAATTAAATCATTAAATACTAGAAATTAACAATCTTAAACGTATAAAAAATTGGAGTTAAAAATAAAAAAAAAAATAATAATAAAAATAATAAGTGTTTATATTTTACTACAATTATTTTTAATGTGTAGAAAATGCATATTCCATATTCCATGCAGATTCCATATCTGATGTGTGAAAACTTTTCCATGTATTGGATATGGCATCTGAATCCTTAGTACTGATATATATGCTCTTCCCTAACAATTTATATATATGATTCAGATATTAAGATGTACTTATATTCTTACATTCAAAAATGGCATCTTTTTGTTCATAGTAACTTGTCTGAATTTAATCAGTGCCTATTTTCATCAAAAAACATTCTATTGTAAGAAATATAAAGACTGATAAATAAAGATTTTGAAATTTACTAATAATGAATTGATATTTATGAAATATTATAAATGTCAATTTTGTTCATCTATATCTATGTCATATTTACATGGATGATATTAAAATGTCTTAATATTGATCAAGAATTGTGTGTAACTTGTAACATATTTAGATGTTTGAACACAAACTGTTAAGATAAACTTATCAAAATGTTTATTTTTTTTCAAAAGAACAAATATTTTGATTAACCTGAGTGATTCTCAAACATGACACACCACACTTAAGTACCACAAGAAATGGCTAAGTGTACTGTGAGTAATATGAAAGTATATTTTAAAAATTAGAATAAGTCATTTGTATAAAGATTCACTGCCGTAACTAGGGCAGTGCCCAAGGACAGAGCACAGACCCTTGGGGGTGCAGAAATGACCTGGATCAAGTTTTGGGGCATAGTTACAGAAGCTTGCACTGAGCGCATAAAAGGCTAGTTACGGCACTGTAAAGATTTATTACATCTAAGATTGACTAATAGCTAGGCTCGACCCCTAGGGTAACAATTAATATTGCCTATTCATAGTTTAAAATATATCAACATATTTTTATTTTTAATTTTGTACCCAAAATGTGCCATAAATACATGCTTTATCTGTGCCACAGATCAAAAAAGTTTGAGAGCCACTGCCTTAATAGTTTTTGTTTAAATGTTCTGATGATGATTCTATTTGTAATAGCTCTGCAACATCTTTCTTCAATGATGGTTATGTTACTAAGTTTTATATTTGTCATGCATATTATCTTATATTTTTTTAAATTTAAAATATTACTCTTTATATTTTCAGAATTTATAAAAGTAATTTAGATAAAAAAATTTTTGGACTCCTTAACTTATTAGTGTTTTCACTTGTTTAAAATTTTTTTTTGGCATTACACTATATTGATTGTAATATGATTAAAACAAATAAAATATTTTTTATTTTTGAAGGACTAGAAGTATAAAAGTTCAATAGACTGGATTTTGTATTTTTTACTCTAGAAAATAAAGCATATTGAAGCATTTATTTCAGGCTGTCTCTTGTAAAAGTTGTTGTAACATCTTATTTATATCTGTCTGTGATATTTTTTATTAATGTAAAGCCATTTTATAGTAGAATTTGTCTAAAACAGAATGTAACTAAACACTGTCACAAAGAAAAATTTTCTGTTTTAGTAAGCTTCTATTTTATAGAGGGTTGTGTTTTCATTAAATTCATTTCATTATAAATACAGAAAAAAAAAGAGAAATGGAAAAATATGTTCCAATTTATATTTAGGGTGCTTTCTCAATGTGAAGGCCTCTAACTTTTTTTTACGTGTTTTTTATTTGCAAGACATGTGAAAAATGCCAAAATGTGTATGAAGTGCACAGAGGAGAAAATCTGTGTAAAAAAACAAAATTAAGATGGATGTTTTAATTGTTTTATTTTCTACAATGTACAACAATGAGCATCAATGAAGTTTGACCATCCTAAGATTTGTGGAAAAGATATGAATAAAAAATCACATAAATAAGTGCAAGTATATTATTAAACATGTTACTTTAGTAATAACATATATCAAAGTATACAAAATAACTTCAGTAAAATTAACAAATTTTTTTCTGTCCAATTGTGTATGTGTGTGTGTGTGTCACACACACATAATTGGATATGGATAATATGTATAAATCATACATACATACATATATATATATATATCTCAATTTAGCACAGTTTCATTGAGGTACTGCATCCCTCTTTCACTTTATTACAAATGCAAGATATTCTTATATCAAAGCAGCTAGTTTTTCTGTGGTTGCTGTCAGAATCACCATCCATTACTGCTATCAGTTTTTACAGTTAATAAACATTGCAATCTGGATGGCTTTGTTTTGCCTTGGTCCAGATAATTTTCATCTGACCACCTTGATCTGGATACTTATTTTTCATATTTAAATATGAAACATTAACTCATTCAATCATAAAACACAATTCCATTTTGTTACTGTCCATTTCAACTGGGCTCTTGCCACAAGACAAGGTGACACCTACTGATAATACTTAAATGTCTTTATTTGGCTTTGTAAATTATAAAGTTTAGTTTTCTGATATATCTTCTTTGAATTTTTCCTTAACTAAAGTTTTTAACTTAGGTATGGAAATGTTTGTTTCCTAGAATATTGCAATGCACAGGTACATTTTGTATGCACTTAGAATCTGTTTCTTGCCTGGAAACTTTATGTATAATTTCTGTTTCTTTGTAATGCTTAAGAATGTCATTGATTGTAGACGTAGGCAAATATAGTTTGGCACTAATAGTATGCTCTGATGCCTCTTCAAAGAACTTAGAACACTTTTGTATACCTCTACACCTACTATCTTTTCTCTTGGCATTTGTGAGGCAGAATTATATTTTGTTTTTCTTTTGTATCTTAGCATATTTGGTAATAAGCAACCATTGCACAAATTTACATATTTAAATGTGTTGTTTTATACATGGAACACACACAATTACCAGAAATATCTAATTCTCATTTTCAGTGATTGTCATTTATTTCCTGCATCAGTTTGCAAAAACCTTAGTAAACCACTTTTCATATGGTGCATTGACTGTGTCATTGCTCTTATTTGTTCGTCAGCATCTTTGTTCAAATTATATTTTTAAAACAAAATTAAGTGAATTAAAAACATGCACCTTAACAAACTCCATCAAAATTTTAATAAACCAAAGTGTTTTCAATCCCTTTGATGAATCTCTTTCAGTTGCTTAGAATGTATAGAAAGAAAAAATGTATTCATAATATATGGGTGATTCAAAGAGTAAAACCATAACATAAAAGAACATATAACGTGAATTATTTACAATAATTTATGATCTTTGCATTTTACGATTTAAAATTTGCGATCAAACTTGTAACCATTATGTTTTTTATGTTATGGTTTTATTTTTTGAATCACCCAGATGAGTTCATTTTTATACATTGTAAGCAACTGAAACAAATTTATCTAAGGGATAGAAAGCATTTTTGTTCTTTAAAGTTTTATTGGAGTTTGTTAATATGCTTGTTTTTAAATTGACTCAATTCTCCATTTGTTATTATTTTTTAGATGAAATTAAGTGGTTGAACTTCATTGATATTATGGTTGTATCATTTGGTGTGGCCCACCAGCAGCTGAGTGATAAAGCCACTGAACACTGAAAGTTGGCCCCATGTTTACATCTGACCGGTGGACTGATTATATGGATTTTTCCAAGTTTTAAACAGTGGTCAATAACCTACAGAAAATCTCCCAGGAGATATCACCTTGTAGGTTACCCGTGTTGCTTTTCCTTATCCCATTAAACAAAACCATTTGTAAGTTAGCACTTAATCTGCACTGGTACTAGTTGCTTTGTCTTTTGTTCAGTTGATATGGAAAAGATAGAAGTGTTTCATTCTAAAATGTTTTTCATTTCATTCAAAAAATTAGGATTTTTTTGCAACTATTAGTTTATTATTTAGTTGGAGATAATATTTCTTTTTCTTAGCTTTTAGTAAATTTAAATGAGTTCTTCTGTTGGTGAGATATTTATTCGGTAGTTCTCTTGTTTTATTATGTCAAAACTTTGATACACTTTTCATCTTTCTCCTTTTTTCCTGCAAAACAGTCCTGGTAAAACCATTCTTGTTGAAACTTAATAATTTTCGTATAACTTTTAAATTTTAATAAATTTCATTTTTAGTAATTATTTAAATTTTTGGTGCACACACTTTCTCCCACCAAGATTTCCAGACAATTCAAATACAGTAAAGAAATAAAGAATAAAGAAAAGAATTATAGATTACAATGCTTGTCACTGAGAAGTGGACAAGGACCAAGCCTGCAAGTTAGATCATTAATTATGATTTAAAATTAAGCTGTTGTTTTTGAAAATTCCATTTTATACTCACATTAAGTTATGTAGTTTGTACCCAAAAAGTGTGTTGTTTTTGGTTTATAGCAGTAATTTACATAGTAAATTGCTTGTTTCTGTTTGTAGCAGACCCATGCTGGACAAATTTTACTGTATTATGACATACGACACATTTTACAATCATGGATAAATCAAAATGTCAAACTGATTAAGAAACAATTTTGAAAATTAATTATTGAAAATTTTGACTTTTGAGATTAAAATAACTGAATATTTATTAGATATACTGTGCTTATATAAGACTTTCAATATTAATTAT